GACCTTTGTCCATGTATTAAACCATATCTAGTTCAAATTCATTGCTTTGCCCTCACGCCGTGGAAGCCATCTATATGTGTTAAGCTGTTAATGGTAAAAATCGAATCTGCGTAATGAAAGAAATCGTGGAATTTTTTAAACGGTGCGGTGACAAAGATGCACCAGGTTCTGCCTTCCAGTGCTTCTCCCACGACTTTACACTTGATAATCCGCTAATCATGTGCTAGAAAAAGTGATCGATGTTCGAATCGACTGGGAGGGAGTTCAATCAAGACGTTGGGCATTTGGCAATGAGTGCGTTATGTGAGTTCAGGATTAAAGCTGCATTACGACTTTGCCCTCTTCGGAATTTGCATCTTGCTGTAATTGCAGAGAGCCAAGAACTGAATGCTTGAAAAGAAAGTGTTGATTACACAGCTTTTGAAATAAAGGCAGCCTGAGCTAACGATTGTTTTGCACCGCTTCACTCTTAAAATCGTTCAACATGATGACCAGTCCTCACTTAACACTCAAGAAATCTCGCCTAATATTACAGTCAAAATATGAGAGGAGGAATTTAGCAGTTAAAAGCTGTGTTTGAGACAATCAGAGATCAGAAGGTCCAAGCACCACACATGCGGGTGCGGACGCTCTACTTGCAATGGTATATGTCAGAAACGTCTACCAGATCACTGATTCAGCCACTGATCAAGGTCCTCTTTGCGTCCATCTACGAAGTGGCCATCCGCACGATCACTAAGGACCCAGAGACAATCCCGAAGCGAAAGGAACCGACCCTAGACAGAAACAGTACATCAAGGACTCGACTCATAACGGACAACAACGTCGACCAGCCCCCCTACTACACCATCGCCCCAGCTGTCGATCAAACACCTATTTTCGTCGTCCATGAACGATGAAGCTAGTTGTACGATCATAAAGTTCAGCGGTTGAAGGGGACGACCTGCTGCATTTGAGGACCGTATTCAGTTAGAAAGGATTCTTGAGTTAGAGTTGACACCTAGTGTGATATTTCGCCATCGTGTACGAAGTCGGTGCTGCGCAGCCATCCCTTCTTGTCTGTGTTGGATTGGATTGCAGCCATATTGTCGTAAGTCCATTGCCATACTTGCTTTGAAAGCCGCTTTCGTGCTTTCGCACGCCCGGTCTAATAAATTTTGTGCAGTGTGTTTTACTGGTTTTCTAAGCGTTCTTGACGGACAAGTCGTTGCCGACGATGGCCAACAATTCTCATGGGAGAGACCAAGAATACGTTGAGCACGTGCTGATTCCAAGAGTAGCGCGGATACGGAACGAGAGTTTGAAGATGCTCAGCCAGCGAATAGACCGCTTATACTTTCAAATATCTCGAAGCTTCTATCTCATTGGGATACGAATGGTCCTTACATGCACAGAAATTTGGAAATCACGCAAAATGATAGATATATAGCAAATTATTAATGCTATTTCATAGTGAAAATGAGAAATCAGAGGAATAATTGTATTTTTTCTTTGCCCGATTCCCGCTGCAAACTTCGCAAATGTCTCTCATAAACTTATCACTGAAGCACTTCTGTAACCGCGGAAAACAACGCTGATTCTGACATCGTGATTCTTTCCGTTTATGTGTATCTCTGTCTTGGATCATTCATTACGTACTGTGTTGTGTGCAGCGGACCTCAAGCTGTTCAACCAACCATGTCCATCGGTAACCATCGAGAAGTACGCCAAGAAAGATATGATCTTATCAGCGTTATTCTCCGCGAACTTGGAATCACTGCCTAAACTCGTCCTACGGCATCAATATTGAAGGAGAGACGCTAGCACATGTTATTTGCGGAAGATTGCATCGTATTCGCACAAAACCCGACGGAACTCCGACAGAAAATCCAGTGGTTGTATGAAGAACCTCTCACAATTGGATTGGATTGGAGGTTTGCCTCTCCAAGAGGAAATGAATACGGAACAAGTACTGTCCGAGGACTCTGTCTATGCGAGCGGCGAAGAAGTCGCCAGTTATGCATACCGACAGATATGCCGCATGTACTACTTTGACGAGGAAACCAGCAGACGAAGGAAGACGTACCAGCCAGATTTTACCATATGAAAACATTGCTATTCGTCAGTGAGCTGCCTATGCGGGCGAAGGAACAGCTGTTCGATTCAGCCGTTTTAACCGCCATGATCTACGGCGCTGAATGTTGGTTCGCTATTAAAGCTGAGGAGGACAAACCGATGGTCACGTGAACAGCGATGGAACGAAGAATGTGCAAGAGTCTGGGATCTGGGATCACGCTTCGAGAGCATAAATTCAACAGTGGATTGGATTGGCAGATGGAATTTCTGCCTTCTACGACTCCGAGAGAAGATCGGCCGGTCATGTGGCTCCGTGAGAGACAACCGACAACCAAGAATTAACTAGGTTTCACTGGACCACAAGGGTCTACTCAGTCGTCTAATAACATGCTGGGACAAGCCGATGGTCAAATTACTTGATTAGCGGTGGAGGCGGAAAGCAGTGAACAGAGAATACTGTTGGTATGTTGCCTTGCGTTCAATGCCACTAATAACAATTACAAGTTGGATGACGGATAGCTGGTCGTGTGCAACATTTCATTGTTTAAAGTGATCAATAGATCTTTCCCGTGGTTTATGCATTGTTTTATTTCAGTCACACTCTAAAAAATGCAAGGAGTGACATGGACATCACCCTCTGCTAAGGGTTAAGAAGCAACACTTGTTTTCTCAACATCCTGGTTGTTCCAGGTAAGGTAGCTTTCTGCAGTTCATCCAGCTTGATAGATTCATCATTTTTCGGTCCGCTGGTTCTGATTGTCTCTTTACAGTGCTCTGATGGTACCGATCATCATGAGAATGATTTTCGCCTTTAAATCATTTGTATTTCCATCCTTAAGTCATGATTCCTTAGTATCGTTTTTGCTCCTTTTCAACAACGTTGCTGTCAACCAGTTATGCCATATCAATGATTTTCGACCGTCATTTTGTTCTGTCTATTTTCACGTTATCCGGGCGATGAGCTGATATTTCTTTCTCAGCTTGCATCGGGAAGTGCCAGAGTATCATCACTTCCTCATTCTGTTCCACCGCTTTGGCTGGTATTTCGAAGATTGTTACTTGTTAGTCGGCTTGATTGTGTAAATGCCAATGGGCTATCCTTGCATAGCTGTTGTAATTTCCTTGCATTCGCTGTCTCATGCTTCACTTCACTTGGCGCATTCTGCACTTTGTAGGATCTTCGTTCTATATGAACTCACAAGGGCTTCCGTCACCTGGGAGTCCACATTTTGATAGCCAGTCGAAAGTCTGATGGATCTGTATATCAATAAGTTGGTGACACTGGGTGCAAAAGGTGTGCTTTGGGTTAATGCTGCTGATTAAATAGTTTTTCGGTAACAGGCTTGGCAAACGGACTACAGAACGTACTACGAATGGGAATAAATTCTGTCCACCCTGATAAATGCCCATCAGAAATGAACCGTAACGTCGGTACTGGCTAATCACCCGACTGACTAACTTGCCAGCATTGTGTATGAATAAACCGTCTTTTTATGCATTTTTCAGTTTTCTGCATGATCCCTAAAGCACGAAAGAAATTCTCAATTGCACTGATCATTCAAAACTATCTCCAGAAGTTCGAAAACGTTTAAGCTTAATATTTGTGAGTGTCCAAGAATACTTTTACATACGTAACATGCCTAAAAGTCTGTATCACGTCAATGTTTCGCAAGTAACTCAACAGAATTTTAATAGCAATCGATTGCGAGGGCAATGAGAAAAATCTTCACAGTATCTTTTTTGGGCAAAAAGATTTATGCAAAATAACGAGTAAATATTGCAGTTAAATAAATTGTGCTGGTATTTGAGATATAAAACATTTTCTTTAATATTAACAGAGTCAACATCAATCAACCCAGAACGCTGTTTATACAAGAAGCAGTTATTTAGTCATTATGAAGAGGAAGATGAGAAACGTATATTAAGTATTTGATTAGCGCTATCCTTTTGTAGGTCAATTACCGTGGCACTGGAATGGACAAACATACGTAAATGAAGAATTTGTTCCTTTTTTCAGATGGATGACGACGTAATGCAGATTCAGATTTTTAAATTAGAGGGCTAGATTTGAATTACGCTAGTTGCGAAGGATATGAAGTTCAGTTCAGTCGCAAACGCGCATGATCAAAAACGCGAATAATAATTAAGCAAAGTTGACAGGTTTGATTTAACCAAAGATTAAAATGATGAAGGTTATGTGGGAGTGCGCTTCTACGCTTTGTTCAAGTAGCAAGCATTCCTAATGCGTTTGATGATTTGGCTGAAATTGGCGCGCGTCACCTCGTACTGATCTCAGATTATTGGGAAGTCGAATTTACCCAAAGAATGTGAGTCATCGGCGAGCAAACAAAATGATGCAAGAGTCCGTAGAGGCATTTGCCTCAGGTCATTCTTGGTCATTCTCGGGGTCTTCGGCTGGTCGGTCGAGCAAGAAGTAGCTGTTTCACTTCCCCTTTGAGAAACATTCACAAAATGTGCTCAAACCATATCAGCTGTGATCTCTCAGTCTGGAAAGATAGCGGTTGTGTACTAAGGCTTTCTCTGGTCTAAGAACCTTGGACTCTGTCGAGATTTGTGAACCTAGGGACTCGTCTCATATAGCTAACTTCAGTTTGTACCCGTGATGCCACTTATGTTGACAACGATAATGTATTTAAGTGATGTACGCAAGCTTTGCATTGAACACTTTTGTCTGTGCGTGTCTATCTTGAGCGTTTGTCTCGTGTCACCAAAGAATCGTGAGTTCTTCAATTTGTAACATTACCCCATAAAGCATTGCTCCTCCAGACTTTATGTTCTTCTTGCTCTTGTATTGTTATTTAAGTAGAAAGGCATATGGCACAGCGGCGAATAATTTAAGGTGTTTTTTCGTAGATTAGTATATACGATTGCAATCGATAGTCTCATCCTGATTTATGCTCACAGTTTCCTTCTCATCGACAAATATGTCGCATAAACCCTATGAAGCTCTGTCATACGCGGTATTGATATTATAACATTAAAGCCATTAGCAGCTTTCAAACGCGTGGACAATCACACAACAATGTTCCGTATGAAACGTGAATTATTTGATGGAGGTTGATGTTCGTGACAGTCGAAACCGATCAAATTCGACTAATATTATCGTTATTTTAAAAGATAAGCGGTGTAATATATTATCTGACAATTCTTTCCGTGTTGAGTAATCCTGATTACCGCAGTAGCCTTATTTCTTGAGATCATCAGTTTAGAGTGAGGGAGATTTTTCCCCATCATCATGTTGAATGCGAACCAACTGTATTATATTTTGGACAGTCGCCATTCATTCTCATGACAGGGTCAAAATATGCAAAATTTATCCATATGAATTCTTAAATTTAGGGTGAAATGCCAAATGGCTTCGTCATTCTTAAAACAGAATGGAGACGTTGGTATTATGTTTAGGTTTATCAGCTAAGTTCAATCATGTAATCTACTCCAGAACATCGAGGTTATATTTTCGATTTATCAGTTTTGTTCTGCCAATTTCTGAACTGAAGCAGAACAGGTTTGCTTTATTTGTTCGGCTGCATACAATTATTTGCCCGAAATAATCTGTTGAGGAAGTTAAGAATCTATTTTCAATTCAATTCAATTCAACTGTTGGAGGTCCAGAACATATCAAAAATTTCAGCAGCAGATATGTTTTGGAAAGTCTGAAATTGTTTCTCATTCAAATCATAGTTACACAACGTCAGTTATGACATGTTCAAGTCAATGTTTCTGACACGTCGGTCTGCAGTAAAAATATTTTCACTTATTTTGTGAATTCAGTCAC